TTCCTTCTGAGGAAGCGTTCGGCCCGCTCTCCGCGCATCTTCAACTCTTTCCAGGTATTGGAGGATACTACTCCTATAACTTCCAACACATCCAAAGAGAGGTTGTTGTGGCATGTTTGGAGGATGAAGTCCTCTGTGATCGGATCTCGGCAATTCATCGCCTTATTCCGGAAGTGCTTGACGAAGTCGTTGACCGTTTCCCCGTCCTCCTATTTCTCCTCGAAGAGTGTCCTAATGGATATCTCGACGTCATCATCAAAGAAGTTGCCGAGGAATGAGCTCTCCATATCATCCCAGCTGTTGATGTTTCCAGGCTTGAGACGGTGGTACCAATCGAAAGCAGGCCCACGAAGGGTGCCAACGAATGACCGAATCATCAAGGCTTCATTGCTAGAAATCATGCCTAAGTGGGATTTGAAATAGATCAAATGTTGAGTGGGCGAGCCCTTCCCGTCGAACGGCGTGAAATTGATCAGGTTGAACTTTGCCGGATACAAGATTGAATCCTACTCTCTTGGGTAAGGACATGGAATCCCGGTCTTCTTCACCTCTCGAGCAGACATCAGAGCGTCGATTTTGCTCTCGAGATCTTTCATCTTTTCGTCCTCGTCTATATCCTGTTTTGGACAATTTCCAGGAGGAATAATGCGGCCACCCCTAACATTGTCATCTTCGGCGGGACTACCCCCAGTATTGTTATCTTCAGTGGGGCCACTCCCAGCGTTTTGGTCAACAGGAGGGTTCTCAGCATTGATACGTTCATCCACATCTGAATCGCTACCTGCTTGGTTAGCAAGGTTGCGATGGCTGAATTCACCGAATTGACTGGACAGAGCCCGAATTTGTTGGTCATGCTCTTCCTTCATCCGTATCATGGTCATTTCCAATTCGAACTTAAAGTTCTCTTTTTGCCTAGCCAAAGTGTCCTCGATGATTTTGGTCATTTGTTCAGCGTTGATCATGAACGCCTCACGAGATCGTCCTATTCTGGACACCGTATTGTAAGAAGTGATGGCAGAGTTCGTATCTGATGCTTTATCATCTAAGGATAATCAGCTATTCATTCTCTGATAGTCCCTACGCCTAGTAGGTCCCGCGCGCAACCGAGTTATACGTTGGGATATGTCCGAAAAATGATGGGAACTAAAACTTCGCGTTAACTTCCCTTTGTCGACCATATTGATGGTGACCTCTGGGAGTTCATCATCTTGCGCAACTGATCTTTTTCTATAGAAACGCATTGGCTTGGACTTGGACGTTCTGGTGGAGATCTTTTCAAATACCGAGACTCTCTGTGAAGTGGTCTTGGGGTAGCTACACACTGATAATACTGTCCTGATAAGTTTGGTACACGGACAGTGAAAATCCGCTTCCCGGGTACTTCTCTTTCGAGATTTATTAGTACCCCCAGCCCGATATTACAACTCATCGACGTTGAGGTCAGAGTAACATATCGGTTGTTGGTTTGATTCCTCAAGTGGAACGTTGTTGTTTGTTCGGTGCATCTTCTTCTGAATAGGTAGTGCTTTATTGGCTTTAACAGGAGTCACACGTTTGGACTTACACCCATGTGAGGATGAAATTTTAACGGGCTCCTGGTTTTATGCAGGCATCTCCACACGGGTAGTTACGGGAATCAACTTGTTAGGATGTCGCGTACGACCCCCGGTCTGGATGGTTGCTCGCGGTTCCTTCAACGGTCCCAAGCGTTCCTTAATAGGCGCTTTGCCTTGATCTTCGTGTAAAGGATCCAGCCGATCCTTCAACAGAATTCTAAATTTGGAGAGGTCCACGTCACTGTAGGATTTCACCGAGGGTGTAGTGGCAGAAGGAGCGGGATCCGAAGTTGACGAAGGCTGGGAAGCAACATTGCTTGCTTTTGCCTTAGGCGTTGATTTGGCCTTTGGCATCCAAATTTGTTTGGATCTCGGCGATCTCTTAACCGCCTCTTTTTTTGCATTTCTTGTGCTTTTCACACAAGGATCTGGGCATGCGCAAGAAGTGCGAGACGCTTCTGAATGTGCTCCTCAAGAGTGGAATAGTTCCGTTTGACACGAACTCATTCGTTAGTAGGTGGTTGGGAGGAGGTTCACGAAGCTTGCTATGGAGATGGCTTAGCCACTTGGCTCTTTCTGAACTCCAGATCCGCTTGGTAACGGAGTCCGTCCACTTGATCTAAAGCCTTGGCGAATTGGCGCGCGAGACGTTGGCATTGCCATTGACGTGCTTTCTGTGATAGAGTTGACGCATCTTCAGCAGTCGACTCCTTGATTGAAGAGGAGTTCAGATCTACAGATCTGGCTTCATTGGACGCCGACGGATCGTTGCGAGGTGCATCTGCAGCAGCGGTAGCGGGGAGATCACCTTCTTGAGTCCTCAGATCTGAAGACCAGCGGATCTTCCTAGAGGAGGAGGCCTTCTGCGCTTGCGAGGAGAGGCGAACCTGGAGGGGGAGGAGGAGGAGACGTACTCCTCGAACTTCTGTTGGTTGAACTCATATTCGACCTCTTCAGCCATGGGGATCTTGATCGTCGGCTGCGGCACGACAGCCTCAGTAATGAGACTGTTGGCTCCCACTGTGGTCGCCGGCTTGTTTGGGTGGGAAATCGATTTCTTCATTGTATAACTTATTACAACTTCAGTCGTTATAACAAGTTCAAAAAAAGATTGGTCTTTTTATAAGACCTTTACACAATAAAATTAAAATTACAATCTCCTTCAAACAAACGTAACAGGTGTTTATTGCCTGCTGCTTGCGTGGGATCTTTGCCTGTGACGGGGATGTTGATATCCATGGACCACCAAACGATCAGATCAGATCTGGAGCTTCGTTGATTCGCGAAGGAATTAAGAAACCGAAGTAATTATCTCGGCAATAGCGAGATAATCACTCTTCTCGAGATCGCCGTAACAGGGCAATCTCAAGGGAATGAACCGGGCTGTAGATCTGATGAACTCCTCTTCTTTATACTAAAGAATTCGCTGATATCTCCTCCTCCTCTCTGAAATTCGTGGCTCTTCAGTTCTCAGTTCGGCAAGGCTTCGCCAACGCTCGAGAATTCTAGATCTGAAAAAATAAAGGCTCTGGGGCTGTATTTATAGGCTTAGGGACCCCTGTTTTTGGATAAGAATGATCGATTCGATCTTATCTTTAGTTGTAACCACTTAACCATGTTCATGGATGATATCAGATCAGTTGAAACAAATCCAGGCAGTTAACGGTCGAAAAACGGCTTTAAACTGTAAAAATCTGATTTTCGGGTCTGCGGACACCCGTGGGTGTCTCGGCCAGGCGGAGACACCAAGGGGTGTCTCGGCTTGGCCGAGACACCATGTGGTGTCTCGGCTA